ATATATATATATGTGTGTATGTATATACACAGTATGTATATATAATATATGTGTATATATACACAGTATGTATATGATACAGATATTTAAATAGGCTCTACATTTAAGGAAACACAAATGTTTGACTGAAACTTGGACAGGCCAGTGCTGTCAGTGGCCCACCCACCCCAGTTGTTTTTATTTACCATCCAGGTTTAAGGCCAGGGACATCTATCTTACTTACAGATTGATTCCACTGGGATTCCCTTTGTTAATAATCTTGACATTTTCCTAAAGGTTAGAGCAGTGAAGGCCTAACCAGGCTTTAAAGGCTTTCTGCCCACTACTGTCCATCTGCCTTGCAAAAGAGATCCAAGAATCTGACAAAAGAAAAATGCCTCACAGAAAAAGGCCCATTAGAAATTCATTTTTATTCTCACTTTCCATTCAGCTTCACCTCACTTCTGCGACCACAGAATATATTCAGGAAAACTAGTTTATGTCACAAAGCTAAAATTTAATATAAGGGTGAAAAATGAATTGGTAATGTAAATGCTTGAAAGACTGTAATCTGGTTCACTGGAACGAAGAACATGCTTATTTCACCACCTGGATGGAGGGATCCTGTAAAAGATAACTGGTAAACATTTCTCAGCACCCTATTAAATTACTTACTATAATAAGCAGATGTTGCAATATTCTTGTACTACTAATTTCTCTGCATCATTTTGCATTGTATAGCTAACAGACCACAGTGTAAATATGTAATTGAGCAACACTTGACCATTATCTGTTAAATGGTTGACTGCACTCATGTTTGTCATTCTTTTCCAGTGATATCATGCTTCTTGCTTCCACTTTCACTCTACAAAGCTGTGTAGTGCAGCCATGTTCATCCATCTCTGGCCTCAGGCTCCACAACGGTGAAGAGTGCATGTTCAGGGGCACCTGGAAAGTAGTAGTAGTGGGTGAAGGAAAATAGATCACTGATGCAGTATACGGAGATTTGTGGTTGATCTGAGGATTTATTCCAGCAACATTTTGGCAATTATCTATCGCCAGTAAAAGTCATTTTGCATGGCACAGGCATCAGGCTTAAAAACATAATGCCCATGTCAGTAAGGGCCAGAAACAAAGTGTAATGACTAATTTATACAATTAATACAGAATAAAAAGTCATCATTCTTGAAACAAAGTTACAAAAAGCCTCACAATCATGAGAAATAAAAAACTGAGCAGATGACTAATCAGTACAACAGAAGGACAATGACTCAGTACAGATATTAAATACAAAAATAAAGTAGAATAAAAAAGGTTTGGGGCAAAATGGTACAACAGATGGAATGATAAACAGAATAGACTGAATGAAATGAATAGGAATAAAAAGGAGATGGCAACAAGGACAATGTCAATTAAATATCTAAAAAAAAACAGAAGAGCCAAAGACTGAGAGACAGGCCAGAGGATACATGTAACTGGCGTTAAATATGTATTTAATGAATATTTATAGCTACTCAATTTTATTCTATTCAAACTTTGATTTGACATCTTTTTGCTCAGAAAATCAGAATACAAAACCAAAACATATACCCAAAGTTCCACCCTATAATAGGAAACAATATACTTCTGAATAGATAAACTGAGAGTTTTAGTCTGGAAGGATGATGCATCTAGGTTCATGCTAAAAGGAAGAGTTTGAAACAAGAGATGAAAAAACATACACCACAGTAATATGCTACTTTAGAAAACATGTCTTTTCTCTCTTATCAGCACTTTCTTCAACTCTACCTGCCAAATCCGTCTATCAGGTTCCTTCACTATTTCTACTCTCGGGTTATATTTCATTTGCACTAAAATGCAGGCAGTAATTCATGTTCCCATGGAGTGAATAGCAGTACTTAGAAATGTTTGCTCTCTCAAAGTAGGTTTCATTATGGGAAGCAAAATTCAGCTCTTATTTGGGATTCAGTTCTCTGTGTCTCGGTGAAAGAGTATTGTATTTTAGAGTAAAGTATCTTTCCAAATCACTTGTATTTATTGGCCTTATGTGAGAGTGAGGAATTCTATTGCACTGGACAACTTCAGTGTTGTTCAAACGCTCACACAGGATGACTTCTGGTGTATGTGTGTCTCTGCTTAAAAAGTATGGAAGATTTTATTGGACTTTAATTTTTGTAATCCACAGAAAACAATCCACAAATGTGTACTATGATGCGCAAATATTTCACTATCTACAAATGTGTATTTTTACATTTGTGATCTGTAAAATCATATCCACAAAAATACAGTGACTTCTACACACAAAACAGTTTTTGCACATTTGCAGATTGCTTTCTGTCAATTTGTGGGTCTTGTTACATTTGTAACTTCCTTTTTATGCATTTGTGGAATTTTGTCCACTCTTTATCACAGAGATCTGCAAACAGAGATCTGTAAATGTGAGAGCAGTTAATTAACTACACCAGCAGGTGGCAGTGTCGACATTGCCTCTCATGAGTTGTAAGAATATCCATTGCAGTACCCAAGGTCATCTGTAGGAGACAACAACTTCTGCTTTTGCTGGACCACTGGACTCTACTCAGCCTAAATTTTCACACAAGTGTATATAGTTTGCTATTGAATACTTTACCACTGTATTTGTTTTACATTTATATTTAATTAAATATGAACCTGAAAATTGTGTTTGTAGTAATATGTTACACCTTCTTGTCAGAGCTGTGAAAGAAAGCTTTGTAAAAGTATATGAAAAGCAGAGAAGTTCTGTATTCTATAAAGCCCAATCAGGAATACTGTATTTCAATTAAGTTATAACATCTTTTGATGTGAAATGATTAAAAAGATTACTTTTTATTACTTCTTCTTCCCCACAAAAAAGGTAAAATACAATCAGTACAAACAGTGTTAATAAACCAAGTCCATATGGGCAAAAAAGGAGAAAGATGAAACTGTGTGCAAGATACTGACAGGACAAAGCATTAGGTACACAGTAGTATATTTATTCTCTTGCCTTGCATTCAGTATTTTTGTGGTTTACCCAAATTTTGAGTGGTATTCAAATTTTTCACATCAACCTAAATAACACAACTGACACAAATTAGACCACAGATCTCCATTTGATAAGATTTTGTCCCACACACGCTTATCAGATAGGCTTTTTACTTTTAGATGTTTTATTACAGAAAGTGAGCCTAATACCGCCTCTTTAACAAGCACGAAAAACAGCTCACAGGTGGAGGCAAGCCCGGACTCCTAATGTACTGAACATAGTTAAAATTAGTGAATTATTTGGTATCACTAGTATCTCTTTGGCTCATGCAAGGAAACAGATGAGGAAAAGAGGAGGTTTTAAAGTCACAAGCTTATGTATCTTGACAGTGACAAAAAAGTCAAATGTGGAAAAAACACCATCAAAAGACAAATCTTAATATTGTTTTAGTGTAAGTGATGAAGTTGTTATCTATTTATTGTGTTTTTGGCCTATGCAGCAAATTACCCATACTGGTGTTCTGTATTGCTATAATCAGGGTTTGAATCCTGTACGCTACAAGTCTGCTGTTGATCACTCTTAATGGAATGAGTAAATCATTACAGAAGTGCACTTGGAATTCACTTTAACTACATACAGTAGTGAGGTCGCCGTCCTCTGTGTGCAGGGCAACATGTGCTCTAGTGTCAAACAGGAGAGCACTGGTTCTCTATCTCTGTAAATTCACTTTAATACCTCCTGCCTTCAGCCCTTCTTGGGACAGGGTGAAAACAATGCCACAGATAAGAGGGAAGGATAATTAATTTTCTCAGTCCCATCTGGCAAGATTTTATTTTCAGCTGTGGAGATTTTAAAAACTCCAAACTCACCAGAAAAGGCTGGAAATTCAAGTGCAGTTTACTGTTTACCTACCTACCTGCCTTCCAACAAACCCCTCTGTCCTCATCAGAAGTACAACTAAAGGACTAAGTTTTTTTACACTTTGCATTTTGCAGAACATAATGATGTAGGCTACAGCGGCAGTACCTCACAGTGGAGAGGATGACGTTCAATCTATTCAAGAGAATAAATACTCACATAATGAACCATTCATTTTTTAGTTGTTGTTTTTAAACAACATTGGCTAAAATGTTATTATGCACCATTTAGCCTACTTTAATTTTCCACCATGCTGTGGTACTGCTAATTGGTCTGCTACTCCCTCACTACGAGGGGTCTCACCTACCGCTCAACAAAATCACGTTTGCCGTCCTGGCTCCAGGCTGGTTTGTGGTTTGATTGACATCAGAACAGCAGAAACTCTACATGTCTTCCATCGTGGACAGAAAACTCATCTGTTCAAGATGGTAATACAATTTTTTCTCTTCTGTTTAATTTACTGTCCACATGGGTCATTTGCTTGCTTGGAATGGATGGCAATAGTTGGAGAAATGCTTCATCTACAGCCTTCATGAGCCTCAGGGTAGTAGGAGTTCATGAGCTGCAGGTTGTGCTTCTACACAAACTTTGGTGATACATTCTGATAAAAAAAAAGCTTTACAACATGTTTGTTAACAAGATCGTCCTCCCCAAAAATACTGCCGTATAGGTTGCATCTGGAGGGATGGGTGGATGGGTCAAACACAGGGTTTTCACCCAGGAGACAACTGTTTGTGTCCGGTGCGAAGCCAAACGTTAGTGTTGATTATTTTAACTTAAGTAACATCACATGATTTACTTACGTGACTTACTTACGTACGTAACATAATTATTTTAAGCCAAACCATGATCTTTTCCTAAACCTAACCAAATGGTGTTGGTGCTAAAACCTAACCAGACTGCAACTGTTTCGTAAGGTCATATGTGTCACAAGTCATTGGCAAACAGCCCATTCTGTCGTTTAGGCATGATGATATTTTGTTTTTAACATGCTTACTGGGCAATATGCGATGCCTCCAGGTGTAAAACAAAGACTGTCACTAGGATAACAGGCCCTTGATAAATGCAGCATAAAACCATTAGGTTTCAGCACATTGTTGTAATCATATGTGACACCTAAATGTCTGTGGGGTCTGTTTGCTTGCAGACTGCATCCTGCCAACATTCACACTGTTATGGTGCCTTGAGATAGAGGGTTGCGTGTGTGTGCGTGAGAGAGAGAGAGAGGAGAGCATGAATGGCTATGAGGAATGTTTGAAAGACAGTGGACCATCTGTATCACTCTGGCACAAACCAATCTTTCATGCTAGTATGGTTTTGAACTTGACCTCTACTGGTTCTGGTGTGATTGGGCTTTTAATTTAGCTGGTAGCTGATTTAAAAGCCACACAACGAAACCTAATCTTCATGCCACTTAGACTGCTTGTGCTTTTACAGTCCACTGTGGCAGATAATATGTTCTCTGTAAAGAAAAGTGCAGAGTGAGATGACATAATAAGCTACATAATACTGTAGCTCCAGTACATGTTTGGCTTATTTTATGTTGTAAATATCACATTAACATGTTAAAGCAAATTGATTTAAGATTTATAAAGTGCGTCAGAAACCAAATACAGGATATCTGTGGCATAGTATCCTGATTTCAGGTAGAAATCTAGATAGAGCTATTTCCTGCAATGCACTAGTGATATAAAAACAGGTATTACATTGGGAATTGGAATTTTGCTTTCTTGTTGAGAATTAGATTAGAAGATGATTGATGACAGATGCCGCTGGATACAAGAGATGATTAGCTTAGCTTAGCTTAATTTAGCTTAGCAAAGCATAACATTAAGACTGAAAGCAAGAGAAACAGAGCCTGGCTCTGTAAAAAGGTTAAAAAAAATTTTTAAACTAACTATTGCCATCTTTTAAACTCACTAATTAAAATAATTAACCAATTACATCTTGTTTGTTTAATTTGTGAAAAAATAAAAGTGTAAAAACTACGCATGATTTTAGGGGAAGGTTCTATATTGGACTATTTCTTCGCTGGGAGCAGTGACTTTCTTGAATCTTTTGTTAATACGTTTTGTAAACCTCCGAACAGATGTAGACAAACGTTTCCCCCTTTTTCCAGGCTTTATGATATGCTAAGCTAACCAGCTGCTGGCTTGGCTCTAGTTCCTTATTCAGCTCACAGACAAGAGGATAGTATTGATCGTCTAATTTGACTCTTGACAGTATTTAAGTATTTCACAAAATGTTGAATGTATGTTTAATATATACAAACTTGTTGATGATGTATTAAAATGTCCAGATGTAGCCTGAACAGTGAAGTGCAATCGGAATGAGAAAATCTGCAGCCTACAACACAGGCACAAGTCAAGCATCATCCATGTATTTTATTTTCATATTACACCCAAGGAGTATTCAGTGCTGAGAAAGAACGACAGCTGGCATAGATAGATACAGCATGTGCTTCTTATTGTGTACATTTGCCATATGGATTGTGCTATCTTGGCATGCACACTGTGTATTTTTATTCTTCCATTCCAGGTGGTTGACTTGGCAGAGGAAATATAGCATATTCATAAAACATTACATTTCTCATCTTGCCTTGATCAACCTGTGACTGTATTTGGGAACCAAAAGGCACATTTATCTTTCAAGATTTATGACAGCCAACCAAATAACAAATACTTGATAACAGTCATTATTACAACCAGAATGTCAACATGGATGATTTAGATTTGTACTGCTTTGGATGAATAAACAGAATAATCAAGGGATTTTAATAGCTAGGAGTTCTGTAGTAAAAACCGGGGACATTCAATAGGTCATTACGTTCATAATCTCCCTCTGTTTTGTTTTTTTGCAGCTCCGCCCTCCGCTTACCTGAAACCCATAAATTTGCTGATAAGTGCAGAGACACTGTGAGCTACAGATTCTGGCAGAATGACAGCATTAGCAGCTGTTGTTATCTTCAAGTTCAATAAAGCCTTGACAAGAGGTTTTCCATGAGTTATCTAGGGAGAGGCAGTGGAGCACGACAGGGGACATCAAACATGACAATGTTCATCCCATGTTTTCATTAAGTTCACTGCAGAAAAGCTACGCTTTGCATGGAATACAAGCTGCCTCCCTCTCGTCCTATCATGTACTGAAGCGTTCACCTCCCACTGCTTTTAGATTAACTTTGTATTCCCTCTTTCACTGTTGAAGCAAGGCTTTCATATTATCCCACCTGGCATGTCGTTAACTCCTTCAGCTGATAAATGCAATTCACAGCTTCCCGTCTTCCTAATTCAGCAATGCTGCACAAGCTACGCCAAGTGAATAAATTAGATTCAGTATCACAAGGTAGTACAGAAGAAGAGAATTTTGAGAGCAAAGGTTTGTGAAATAGACTTCGATCAGTGCTTATCTCATCTTGGATCCTCTTCACTCTGTTCTGTGTCGGTATCTCTGAAAGGTTTGGGTTTCACAGAGATTTCCATTATTCTGCTCTCTTTGTTTTATAAATGGCTGTTGTGACAGGTAGACTTTCTAACAGAGCTCTTGATGATACAAAGCCTGTGTTTTATCTATGTGACTCAGATATTGGTGCTTCTCTTCTGCTGTACAAGGAATCCCTAAATTATCTAAAATTCGGAAATAACTAAGCTTGGATAACAACAAAGTCTGGAATGAATCTTTATATAATATGAATGTGGACAAAGTAAAGAGACTAGAAACCCTTTATTTTATGGAATCAAAGACATTGGACTAAATTACTTTAAATAAGATGCCATGTTTAATTTACAACAATAGAATACCTTTCAAATAGTAAAAGTCATGATCCTGCAAAGGCATCCAAAAGTGTGAGTTCTGGAATTTACTGTTTCCCAATCGGTTTTCATCCTTGGGACTCACTGGGTCACGCAGTACTGTTCTGTGTGACACCACAGTAATGGAAGACATCTATAAAAAGGTGATTCTCACTTCTTAATGTCATTTTTCAATTAAAAGTGTGCCACTGAATATTATGACTCCCTCTCCTCATTTATGTCCTCATCTCTCTGCCTTTTCATCACTTTAAGGCTGAGGATGATTTTCCACTATTACCACTTAACGCACAAACTATTAGGGGGGCTTTTACATTAAAACCTCCTCCTTACTGAGGTGAAGGAGCACTGGTTCTTTATGCTCTGTCATTTGTTCAACTGGGTAAAGTCCTCTGTCACTGATAATTAGACCTCAGAGAGCCGTATAAAGACCTGCAAAAGGGAATGATTGAACAGATTGCCAAGAACCTTGAAAGTGCTTGTGTGACACCAGAGGCTTGTATGTGTGTGCCTGTGTGTGTGTGTGACAGACAGCCGGGTGGACGGGAAAAGTGGAAAGAGAGGAAGCCATTATCCAATATGAATCTCCATTTTTCTTCCGCCAGCCTTCTGTCCGTATTCCACTCCAATGAATATCCCACTGATAAAACAATTAGACTGAGAGACAAAACACTGGTTCCAAAGGCATTACTCATGCTTGGCAGAAACACATTTTCCACTGTTTCACTGCATATTTCATATAGACAAAGTCTTTAATTATGTACTTACACAGTTCACATGAAGCATTTATATAATATTACACAAAACTGAATTGATAATACTGTAAATACACACACTCACGTAGTATTACAATGGACAGAACGTCTGCAAAAGTAAGTTATGTGAGAAATTATATATAAACCTCTGTTGTCTCAGCATGATTGCCCTGGCCAGTGGAAGCTTATCAGTCTCTCAGAGCTGGGCATTTAGTGCTCATTTCTTCCTCATGACAGCAGCTAGAGGCTCTTCCAGGCAGACCTGCCCCCCATGACACAGGATGTGATGCAAGACTCCTGTTGCATTAGTGGACAGGTCTGATTTGTCTCAAAAAAGAGCATCAGAAATGGCTGCGCCAGTGATGTATCCAGACTCATTTTCCCAGCTGGATGTCCTCTCATATGTCAGCTGGAGATATGGCAAACATCAGATTGCCATTACCACTAAACCCACAGCTACTGTTTGTCTACTGTATAGTACAGAATAACATTATGTTTAAAACCGAATTAATGAAAGCTTTTGCATAAGTTGGTAAGTTATTTTATATTTTAAGCATTCATCATTATTATTAAAGCAAAATTAACAAAGCAAGAAATCAGTACATATATTTAAGAGCTCAAACTGTAATTGGGAACTGTTTCATTATCTGGACAGAAGCACTTTGCGGTAAAAAAGCAATTATCTCACTGAATAACTGAAATATATTAACATATAAAGAGGGAAATGAAAGGAAGTCCTATATAGGGAAAACCAGTGTGAGGCCAAAAGTCTGTGATCTTCATCACAGCAGCATTGAAGTACATGTAAACAGGCTGCTGTGGGAGCTCAACGGAAAACGATGGAAAAGTAATTTTCATCGTCTGTCCCTTCTACCAGGAGTGCCACCGCAGCTCTGAGTACCCCCCGGCACATTGATTCAAAGATGAAGGGGAGCCTCAGCAGCAGCGTGATCCTAAACGAGATGACACAGGACTCTGTGGCTGATTCTTTGGACAGGTGCATGCTGGGTGATTTATGTGCACGTCCTCTCGCAGGTCCCAGGAGCAAATATTGACTGTTTATTTCTCCAAGCTCAAGGCAACAGGGAGGCAGCAATTTCTTTATTTTGGAGCTTAGATAAATTGAACCCCGCAAGATGCAAACGCACGTGACAGGAAGCAATTTTTTTAACCTACCCATCCCCCACCTTGCAACTTAATAATAAAAAGAGCAACTTAATAGCGGACATTATTGATTTGTCATTCCTCTTCTCAGAGATCTATACACCATGGGGACATTTCAATTACATAGGGGCTTTCTGATTGCCTCTCCATTCAGGTCCCCACCATGACAGGCTACCTGCTGTTGATCAATGATGGACCCCCACCAATAATACTGTATGGTATATCACTTATATATGTAGATTATTTATCTTCCACCTGTTGGTTTGTGCATAAAATCATCTGATCAGCGCACAACATAAGGGATGCTGTTGGTAATAAAGGATTGGGAGACGTGAATCTGACCACACCAGTTGAGTGTTTTTATGTGTGTTTTATTGACAAATAACGAATGCCCATTAAATTCAAGTTCTGTATGACAGCATGTTGTGGTGAAGGTTAAGCTGAGGAGACATTTTTGCCATGATAGCAGACTGATTATGTTTAAGGGTACAATATATAAATGTATATAAATAGTCAAAAACATAACATCCTGAAAACACCATGTTCGGTCTGGAGGGTCCTGTTTTCCCTCTTCAATTTGCCCTTTAATGGGAAATAGACTGCACAGGTTTTTCTCAGCAAACTCCGCTCCTAGGGAAAATTGTGTTTAGCGTTATCGGTGGGAGATACACGGGCTCAGCCAGCCAGAACAAACAATTATTGTACAGAGGGCAGCGCCGTGGTGTCCAGATGGAGCTGGCCCCACACATGCTTATATTACTGAATCCAGTAGCAAAAGAATGAAGATTATGCATTATTGAATAATGAGGATCAGAGAGAGCTGTTTCTCATTCAATATAGTGTATCTTTCATATTTCCCCTCTTTCATTCTCTCACTCACCTGTGTGTGTCCCATCTTTTCTTCGAGCTTCAACATCTATTACATTTTTGGCTACACAGACGTTCAGTGGCAGAAAGACGTAAGATGTAAGTATAGAGAAACTGAACACAGCAGCGTTTTGTTCTTCTGGCTTTGAGAACACGTGCATCCCACCTGCTACACTGGGGTAAAACATTTAGAGATAAACTATGGCTCTGGATTGAAAAAGAAGTCTCACATGCTCGTTCAGTGGTCTATTTTAATTTAGCAACTGTTATTTTGGTACAAATCTTCACAGAAAACCATTTACTTGCTCAGGAAAAAGTTTTTCATGAGTACGATAGAGGAAAATGCGTCAAAAGGTTAAACTAGTCAGTTTTCCTTTTCTCAGTAAAATTGTTTTATTGGCAACAAGGCTGGATTTTTCTTTTGTATAGCTTTTCTTGGTTAACATTCCTCTTGTTAATCAACAGAGAAGCAACAGACTAAATTATGCCCTTGATCATTAATATTCTTTGGTCTAGTCCATGTAGACAAGGCAGTGTGCTGAAACTCTGGTGTTTTCGTTCGTTCATAATTAACCAGGAGTGCTCATTAGAAAGCAGAGAGTCATCGGGGGAACTGTCATGAGTCTTCTTTCAAGGCCAAACTAAGGTAAAACTTCATGATGTGTCAGTAACAAAACACTGAATGAGTCTCTGAAAATGAAAAAGCTATTCAGAAAACCTTTTGGCTGGACTGAAAAAGTGATTTTAAAGCTACGTGAATATTTTAAGTGAAGTAGTGACAATTACACAGGATTTGTGTTATACATATGTTGGTTCTTGGGTATGTTTTTATTTGAGTGACTGTCACTATGAATTCAAGTTTGAATGTCTGTCCTTTGCATATTACATTTATATGCTGCTTTGGCGGTTTAGTCTTTTTTTAATTCAGGCTTGAATTTAGTTTATCATGTAAAAATGTCTAGTTCATGCCTGCATCCCACAAATCACCTACGAGCTAGTTCAACCAGTCAACTTAAGCTGCTCTGAATACACACGTGACATGCCTCACATTCCACACCCCTCCAACAAATATACCCTCTCAAATTGGTAGAAAACAGGGTGTCTTCACAATAAGTATTAGTGTTTCTTAATGTATCTATCAACGATAAAGGTGCTTTCAGAAGTAAGAAAACCTCATTCAAAATCCCATTAAGATTTGTAACAACGCTAATAACTAAAAATATAGTCAAGCAACAGAGCCTTTCTCAACAGCATGTTGTGTGTATCTGATTTGTTTTAGGATATGGAAAGTAAACACCAGCTTAATTTTTTAAGAAAGACAGATGAAAAAAAAGCAGAATGATGCTTTGCAAAATCTAGTGGAACAGATGATAGCCCGGACTTGACGTCATGTACTCACCTCTTCCTTCCTCTTCCTTATTTTTGAGCCGCTCTTATTTAATTTATACATGCTTCGTCTTGGCCAGTTCCTACAAGACTATGGAATATCTTACCACAGCTATGCAGATGATACTCAGACTTACAGACTTACTTGACCCTCTCTCCAAACAACTATGATCCCCTTGACTCACCTTTTAAGCACATCACTAACAATAGGACAAAACAGTTTGCAGTTGAATAGAGACAAGACAGAGATATTATTTTCGGGAATAGCCATGAGAAACTCAGATTGGCTGTCTATCTGGATTAGAGAGCACTGAAATCCAAAGAAGTAGCATGTAACCTTGGTGTACAAATGGATTTTGATCTTATCATGTCAAATCAGTTACTAAATCATCATTTTATCCCCTCAAGAACATCAACAAGATTAGAGATTTTCTAACTAAACCAGACCTGGAGAAACTCATCCATGCTCAACTTCAGTTGATTCAAAATGCAGTTCATAGTGAGTAAAAGAATTGAACACATCACCCCTTTTCTTAAATCCTTACACTGGTTACCAGTATGTTACAGAATAGTTACTATTACTGGTATATAAATCGCTTAATGGTGTAGGACCATCATAATTAACTGATTTGCTGCACCAACATGAGCTGAGCAGACTTCTCAGATTACTAGGAACAAGTAAGTTAGTCCTGTGTAACGCAAAGACTTGTAGCTATCACGCTGCTCCTAAATCGAACCATTTGATAGAAAGCATTAAAAATGCCTGACGCTGGACACTTTTAAATCTAGGCTGAAATCTTTTCTAGTTGACCAGGCTTTTAGCTCAGTTTGAAATATTTCTCTTTTAATTCCATTGTTTTAATCATGGTTTTAATATCTATTGTCTTTACATTATTTATATTTTCTGAAGTATCTTTGTACTTGTATTGTCACATTGAAAGGTGCTATATAAACAAACTTGCCTTGCCTTCCTGGTTGTCTCATCAGCAGGAGTTGAAAGAATGAGGCTGGGCCAAGCACGTACTTAAGGAACATGTTGATACTTCACTATAAATACAAGTTATTATGTTTGCCAGACTTAAACAATACCAGCAATCTAGTCTGTTGCAGGCCACATTTTGACCTTTGTCGTGGCTCAAAAAATGTACATCCATTGAAAAGTTTGGTATCATCTTGACCCAGAGCATCTGCAGATTAATTCCATACCTGAAATTTTTTGATCCACTAAAGTTAGAACGTAAGACAAAATGAATGAATCATTGTTTTTGTTATCTTCTCTGATTGTAAGGGAGCTGGGAAGGACAAATTAGTTTTTTCGGAGGGGATTTGGTAGGGGAGATGGAGGGCTTTTATTTTGCAAAGTGTGTTACAACAAAATGTTCTAAATACTAAACTAAACTAACTAAATAAATACATCACATTCCATATTTATGCAAATGTTTTTCTGTTAAGTATTAGTACATTTTATATTCATCATTTATAAACCATTGTTCTTATGTTAATACACATAAGTAATTTATAAACATAGTTGTATGTTGTATTCTTTATTAATAAGCTCATTTATAATGTGCTTAATAATTGTATTTTCATACTTTATACATGATTGGTTCACTATTTATAAATGAAGTATTATTTTAATGACAAACCATTTATATATGAGTTGTTAATGGTTCATAAGATCTTGTTTTTTTTATACTTTCCGGAGAAAGAATATAAACAATCTCCTAAATCTAGCAGCACCTAAAGACTACCTGAAAGATGCCCCAGCCGTTACTGGTTGTGTGGAAAAGCCTCACCATTACAGGCCTGGTACTGTATCTCTGAGATAGATCATTTATCACTACCAGCTCATCAATGATGTGCTTAATGACTGTATTTGATAAAAAGTATTATTCCAATGGAAAACTATATATATATGCACCTAGGGTTCATAAGATCATGTAGAAAGTTTAAGGAAATTATTTAATAAGTATTTTCCCTCTAAAGTAAGTACTATCTAGGCCATACAAAACATTACAAATGATACTGAAAAAAGTCTCGGTTAGGCCTCTTAAGGCTCAGCTTTTTTAACGGCCTGGGTTAACACCCCTTTAGTGTCGTTTTGGACGTCTAGGTGGTCAAGTTAGCAACAATAAACATGCAACGTCCGGTCAAGTTAGCTACAATAAATACGCAATGTCCGGTTAGGCTTTCAAAATAAAACTAGTGAAACGGAACATTACTTGCGATCCATAAGCAAACGAATATCAATATTGACTTTGTGTTTAACACAGGAAACAAGTGAAAGTACGGTTTCTGGTCAAGCCGCCCATCTCAACCATGTCTCCTCCTTACCATAGACTGTAGCCCACATAAAAAACACGGGCCTTAAAGCAGCGCTATATTGACCCTCGGCGCATCCAGTAATCTCTGCAGTATGCGCTCACTGTAGCGCCAGACCGCAACGACGAAGAACAGAGAGAAGCGGGCTAAGCTGGAAAAACGAGATCCCATGGGCCCAGAAACGGGTCTTAAGTGTAAAAACACCATCATTCGGGATTTTGCCGCCATTTGCCTAAGGAGTTGTTTTTTTTTACCTTGGAAACTCCGGTGAGTAACCTTTGTAACTTTCAGGAGAGAGCTAAAAGTGCAGCGTGATGCTAGCTTAAATGGGTGGGTTAAAACCATATTACTGTAAGTTAAAAGCAGTCGGAGGATGTTGTGAATGCGATGTTGTGAACTGTTCAACAGTATTTTGTTGTGTCGTGGTTTCAAACTAATCTCTGGAGGTACTTTTGGCTGTGTAAGCTACATGTAATACCTTAAGAGGTATTTTTATTTACAGTATTGTGTATGTACATGTTAAAGGTAATTTCCTTGCCTAAAATGGGAAAACTGTTCAGTAATGTAATGTAATGCTGAGAGATGGAGAAATTTAATCAATTCATAGTAGTGATGTCTTGCTTAAATGCTACCTGGTAAAGTTATAAATCTTTGGTATAACAATGTAAAACTTAAGAAGATTCCCTAGACAAAAGGGTGATGATATTGAATTTTGACAAACGGGATGAGATCTTATTTGAAGAACATTGACTGTGATGATTTATCTGATTTATTCCATACTATATGTGCAGACTGGTTTTTGAGACCCTGGGTTGTAACTTAGAGGTCAACTCTTCCCTGGATGCAGATGGTGAGCGAGTCCCAGAGATGATGCACCCTATACGATGAGATCGGACCACGGTATGGTCAGCTGCTTCGGATCCCATTCAACAGCACTGACACATCAGATTATAGGACACTGGCAGATAAGAAAGATCCACCACACGTCCATTATCCTTCCCAGGTAGAGATGCAAATAACTGAAAGACCCTGGACACTTTTTAAAATTGAATTTTTTATGAAAGAGCTCTTCATATTCTGGGGATTGTTTCAAACATGGTCGGTGTACTATGAGAGTGTTAAAGGTGCTGTAATAAACCTGCCCACTCTTCTTTAATCACACACAGTCTATTTCTTACACCTACTATACTTCTCAGAACTTAGGTTGGTAAGTTAGCTAAAGTGCTACACTAGTGTTAAATATTCTACACCTGTCTTTAGCATTCAAAAACTATGCTACAGGGCTTTCCCCAGTATGTTGAACTATGACTATGGGGCTCTCAAGTGCGTTATAAAGTGACAACAAAGGGTCTTGACCATTCGTACATATGTGACAACTTGGGAGTGAGAATGAGTTAGGTTTTAGATGGTTCATTTTATATCAACAGTTGTACAGTTTATGCAGCAGTAGTCTCTCATGTTGTTGATGTGTTATTTTGTGAACGAATGGCTGAAAGGCATTTTGTAATAAATAATATGTTATGAAATTTAAAGAGGGGGTTACATTGTTGTCCTTCAACAGACCATCCAAGCAACCCTTTGCTGGTCCCATCACAGCAGATCTCTAGAAGCGCAGATCTTGGAGTTTTGATCAGATTTCAAGGTATACACACTGTATCTTCTAGCGTTCTTCTTATACAATGTTTTGAAACTGAAATTACACAAATTACAACCATTTAATATCAGTTTGTAAGTAGAACAAGAGAAAACCTTGAGTGTAAAGACAATCAAATGCATATAAAACATTGGCTGAATATTGTACTATGAATGGGAATATTATATAAGTGTAAAACGTACATCTCTTTGATGTCCAACGTTTTCATTGTTGGTAGGTTCCGATGGAAATTGTAGTCCAAAGCAGCAAGCAGAAGTCTTGCCTCATAAACTGGGGGGCTGAAAGCATAGCGCTTGCTGGCAAACATGAGGATATGATTCTGGACTGACTCTAGGTCTGTAGTGTGAAAAAGTATAGCCACACTACCTCAATCGCAGATATTTGTGAACATCTTTCTGCCACCTTTTATTGAGAACTATATGCACTAACGCTTTGTGGCACTGGGAGTCTCTCTGGATCCACATCTTTACTCACATTTGCTCCGATTCAAGGTGCCCGTGTTTGCAGCTTCCCATAGTCCAGGTGTGAATGTTGCAGACATGGTGAAGGATGCCAACCCATAATGCCTGCAAAACATAAAAATGCACTATAAATATGCCGTTAATATAGCAATTAATGAAATTACTCAAAGATATAATAAAATTGTGTGCTTACAAGAAACTGCCCACGTGTGTCGGCAGTCTTGCAACACCACCGAAAATGGTTGACTATGTCCTTCAGCCTGTTGAAGAGGATGGACTATCCTTTCATCTTTGCGGCCTTGAAAAGAGAAAAATTATTACTGTAAAATACAGGCATTCAACTATAGTCTGAGTGTAGAGGTGAAAGTGTAAATGTTCACCCCCACCCCAAAAAAAAAAGAAAACACTAAATGACTACACCAAATGTCTAGAATGAGTAACACACCTGGGAGAGGAAAGTAAACAAAATCTGTTGTCTTTGAGTGCAATGAAAACTTCCATGCTGTCATCCATCAACTGCACATAGTTCAATAACCCTGATGTACAGAATATTAACTTTATGGTTAATAAATGTTTCACAACATCAGCCAGTTATTACACTTACTGCTGCTATTTTTTTGGCAAGGTTCTTCGCACCATGCCACATGTCCAAACTGTGATGAATTCCAAGGGCCTTGTATTTGCCTTTGTCTGGGTCTATGAAGCGGTAAATAATGTCATGTTACTATAATATTTATATTGCTGTTATACACATGCATCCATACAATATATCACATGAAGTAAGGGCACCAATCTGGCCTTGAGCATCTGTGCAGATTTCCACTAGCTTTATCTCTGATGTAAGCTTGTCCAGTCTGGATGAAACCCTCCTTCTCCATGACGACAGAGTTCCATGATGTTTGCCGCTTGTCTATGGTGGCAACATGAATGATCTCCTTGGTGTTATTCTCCATGGTGGTGTAGCTGCAGTATTGTGCACAGTGACCAGGAGAGTCATTTATGCCATCCGCTGAAATTTTGTAAAATATAATTCAACAGAAAAACAGTAATTAGTTGTTTCCATACTGTCATTGCTTAGTGTATTCAATAGCTATGTTACATAATACAGTATCAACTACACACCTAGGACAACAACATCTTTCCCTTGAAGGCGACAAAGAACCTCTGTCCTTCTCTCTTCCCAGAAGTCCTTTATTGTATTGACGCAGTAAGTGTCCTGAATGGAGAAGAAAGTGTTCCTGTTCACCATCCCCGTGTTCATGAATTTGAACAAGAGGGCAACCTTTGCGTAGTTGTTGCCAGACAACAAAATGTTGGTGGACAAGAGAAAATCTCCAGCTTGCATCCCAAACTTCATCACAGGCTGGGAATTCCACCTCCACAAGCTGTGTCCATTATATCTAAAAGTCCCACAGAAGAAACATTTGCTTTTGTCATGTACACCACTGGCTTTTGGTATAACCTTTCATTTTATACTAATTTAAAGTTGTGGTATTCTGTGATTATCTGGACTTATGCATTCGATAGTAGCTGCTGTGCTCTTGGTGGTGATGTTGATCTCAAAGGGTTTAACAGAGTTGCACGGCGCACCAGTCCTCAGAAGGCCAGTGCATTTATCCACAGGCAGGATCAGAAATGTAGCCAGTTGTCTTAAGCAGTTCTCGTACACTATGGAGGCTCTGACACCTATGATGTCATCTTCACAAAGGACATTCTGTGGTTCTGGGAAAAAAGGGTCATGATCACAGGGAGAAGGCTCATCAAGAGGGTCTTCATGTGCAGGCAGATCATGCACAGTCTTGTCGATTCCAATAACAGGAAGTCCATCGATAGTGTGCTTTCTTCAGTGCTCCACCCATTCTGTTGAGGCACAAAAATCTGTAGTAAACTGACACTACAAAACAATTGCAAATAGAGACTGACAAATAACACACCATATAGAAATCGGTGGAAGATCCTCTTCATCAGAGCTGAAACCATCATCTCTTTCAAGGGAGTAAGGGGAAGCTTCATCTGCCCAATCAATTCTTTACATAATGACAACTTTCTGATAAAAACAAGTTCTCAAATAATATCACTGAAATATAAAACATGTAATTAGGAAGTACTACTTACACACTGTTCATTGGGTCATTGAAAACATTTTCCTCCAAGTCCTCAACAATGCTCATGTCATGTAAGCTGCAAAAAACATATTACAAATATATATTATGAACATTTGGAGAAAAGCAATACAGGGCTAAAAGTTATGATGTGTACATGTTACCTTTGTTCAAGGCCCTGAATTTCTGTGGCTTCTGGAATGACATCAAGATGCTCATCTCTGTAAAGAATAACCAGAGTAAGTTGTGTATATCCCACACATGCTCATTCAACAGTAGATATAGACCAAAAATAAAATAACACACTAATCATAAAGTTCATGTTTCTAATCAAAGCTATTAGGACTAAATTAATATAATGTTATGCATGACTTACCGGTCTGTTCCACTAGAAGCACCAATGCTAGACAATGCTGGAGCTGGGATTTGCAAAGGTTTTCTCTTCAAGGGTGTCGATGTTGCAGGACCTGTCTTGTAGCTGGAGAAACAACAGCAGCATCAATAAATGAAGTGCTACATGACACAGTCGCATACGACTGTAATACATTACTGTACTGTAATCCACAATGTATTACATCTTGGTAGGGTTTGCTCATCTGGCCTAATAAATTGAACATCCCAAAAACTAAAAGTATGATCACCGACAGACAACATGGAAAACGTAAGCCAAGAGTGTGTAAAAATGTCCCTGTTTCTGTACCACAGTCCATTATAAACCACATCATGGGTAAGTTTACAAAGCCATAGTCAGGTGAGGATCAAGGGTGCTCTACAATATAATATAACACAAATAAGTACTGACAGCCATAATTTGAGCTTGTGGTAACCTTTGTATGCACCGTAGAAGCAATACAAACAAATACGTTGTTTCTAATGCAAATTCTAACAATAGACATAATTAGTCACTTGATCGGCACTGCGGTAACGTGAGCCGCTGAATGCAAAACCGTGGTCAAGCCAGCCGCCGTTGGATTTCTGATGCGCCTGAAGCAGTGTTATTATGGTAAGGACGGGCTATGAGTGAGCCAAAGGTCCTGCAAGACACATACGCGTTTTTTGTGATGTTCTTAGTGACCTTTGACGAAAACAATTTCTTAATAGGTGACAACAGCGATTTCATATCTTCTGCTTCCTAGTGTCCGCTACTATCACTGACACATATATCATAACATTTTACTGTACCAAATTGGAGAAATTAATGTCTAAAAACCCCTCCCACAGCGAAAACTAAATAGACAGTTAACATTTCTGTGAACTTTGACCTTTCACCAAAACAGTTCCTTCATAGGTGACACCACCAATTTAATTTCTGCTGCTTCACAGTGTCCTCTACTACCACTGGTACATATATCATAATATTTTACAATACCAAATTGGAGAAATTACAGTCTAAAACCCCTCCCACAGCAAAAATTCAACAGACAGCTAACATTTTGGTGAACTTTGACCTTTGACCAAAACAGTTCCTTCATAGGTGACACCACCAATTTCATATCATCTGCTTCACAGTGTCCTTTACTATCACTGCTACATATATCATAATATTTTACTGTACCATCTTTGAGAAATTACACTCTAAAAACCCTTCCAGGAGCAAACATTCAACAGACAGTTAACATTTCTGTGAACTTTGACCTTTGACCAAAACAGTTCCTTCATAGGTGACACCACCAATTTCATATCATCTGCGTCACAGTGTCCTCTACTATCACTGCTACATATATCATAATATTTTACCGTACCATCTTTGAGAAATTACACTCTAAAAACACCTCCAACCTCCACCTCCGGCATCAGTGCATGAAATTATATTGTTGGTAGTCACTAGCAACTTGTTGGTAACTAGTTAATTATTGTCAAATAATATGTATTTGTTGTTATATAACTGAGCAAGTAGGCTAATCCAGTGCATTTCTTTAGACTATTTTCTGTGAAGTTTAAGAAATTGCTAGACCTCCACTCTCTGTCCATGGTGCTGAAATACCTTCTATCCCACAATAGATCAGTGGAAATGTTTTTTCACTGCTCTTTCTAACTCGCACATTACATGCAAACATTTGTCACTGAGAATGTGAGCTATACGCGTGTTAAAACAGTTTTCAATCAGTTTTCAATCACAGAGAGTTAATTCACTCAGGCGTATAACAAATTAGTCTGTTCTTAGTCACTGTTGGGATGACAACAAGCTCTGCAAAAACACAAACTACAGTGTACATTACACTCATAATTGTGTTTTTTGGGAGATGTTGGGTGTCTTTAATGTTTCGAATGGACCCCGAGTCTGACAATAAAGTTGAACATACACACAAAGGCATAAACAAAACAACAGCATTTGTAGACAGTAAATAAATAGTTTAGGGATCATAGTGCAAAGGCTGGATAAATAAATATTTTTGTGTTGGTATTATTATGTACATGAGGCCTTTGGGTCGAAACTGTCCCTGTGTCGGTCTGTTTTGGCGTACATCGCTTTGTACCGGCTAACAGAGGGGAGAAGCTGGAACAGGTTGTGTCTGGGATGAGATTGATCCGCCATTATGTTTCCTATGTTTCCGTTTCATGACTCAGGTCCTGGACATGTCCTTAATGGAGGGCAGGTTGTAATTAATGATATTTTCTGCAGTCCTGACTATCCGTTGTAGTGTAGCAAGTGTGTTGAAAAAATACTTTTGGAAGAACAATTTTCCATTGGGCTTCTACGGAGATGAAGAGGACCAGACCCAACACGTTTGATTCTATTTAACAAACACATAGCATGGTTGAATTAGCTAAACTGACCCAGCCACAGGGTTTATGAACATTACTCGTGGCCCGTAGCTAACCCCTCTCAGTGTGTCCAACACAGATGAAAAAACAGCTGCAGCCTTCATACAGAAAGTGGTTCACAGAAACAATCTAGCATTTCTATTTGAAAAAATATCTGGAGATCCAGAAGGGCTATACTGTACACTGGATAAACGCATCAAAAACATGAATGAGGGTGCTGAATTTCTTAAAACAGTGTCCATTGTCCAATTGAAACGTTTGGTAGCAGTCCACGAGGTGAATTAAAACCAAAACTGTGGAATTAACCACAGCAATAAAAGTAAAAAACTACAGCATAGCATGATAACAAATTAATCAGTAAGATTTTGAATAGTACTGATTGTAATGGGTAAAACAAAAAATAGGCTAGTTGTAGTTGCTGTTGGAGGTGTTTTTAGAGTGTAATTTCTCAAAGATGGTACAGTAAAATATTATGATATATGTAGCAGTGATAGTAGAGGACACTAGGAAGGAGATGATATGAAATTGGTGGTCTCACCTATGAAGGAACTGATTTGGTCAAAGGTCAAAGTTCACCAAAATGTTAACTGTCTGTTGAATTTTCGCTGTGGGAGGGGTTTTTTGGCTGTAATTTCTCAAAGATGGTACAGTAAAATGTTGTGATATATGTACCAGTGATAGTAGAGGACACTGTGAAGCAGATGATATGAAATTGGTGGTGTCACCTATGAAGGAACTGTTTTGGTGAAAGGTCAAATTTCACAGAAATGTTAACTGTCTGTTGAATGTTTGCTCCTGGAGGGGTTTTTAGACTATAATTTCTCAAAGATGGTACAGTAAAATATTATGATATATGTAGCAGTGATAGTAAAGGACACTAGGAAGGAGAAGCCATGACAACGCTGAACTATCTGCTGAGGAATTACGCTGGTGAAAGGTCAAATTTCACATAAATTATGTTCACACAATAACAAAAGAAAAATTTTGTATTACTAAACTATAATCATGATTATTTAGTAATATTATTATATTTCTGTTGTATGTATTTGTGTTCATATAATCACCAAGAGCATCACAAAAAAACACGTATGTATCTTTCAGGACCTTCAGCTCACTCACACC